GAAACAGATGTCTGACATGATTTACGTTGCACATACTGCATACTGAATAATGCACTCATGCTACTGAGAGGTTAACGATGGATATGAAAGGAAATAATGGAGGGAAAGGTCTTTGAGATAACTGTGGGAGTCCCCCTCCCCGGCAGTGAACCGAAACGCTGCCTATCATGCTTCATGCGTCCACGCTGGCCTGTAACAACAGTAAACCCTGAAGTTGCCGAGTGTTGGCAAGACCAATAAACAGCTTCCTCCAGAATTAGAAAAATATCTCAGAAGCTCGCGAGGAGGAGGAGCAGCTGTCTTAACATCCAGCACCGAGAGCAACGCGTTTACATCTGAAATCGAATGCATCTTTAATGGAATGAATAAACACACGAGGTCTCGGCGGGGAGGCGAGTGAAGAACAGACCATCATTAGTGTGTGTCTCTCTGTTTGTATTTCTACATGTCTGCATATGCGGGCACATCCCTGCTTTTCTTAAGATCAGGCGGACGGCTTTGAATATTAACACGTTCCCTCGCTGGGTGCAGAAATCAGGTCTGCATCACACACGCTGCAGCCGGCTGACACGATGTGCAGCAGCTTCAATGACTTCTTTTGCCAGAGAAAAGCTCTTTTTTTTTGTTGTTGTTTTTAATCAAAGAGAACCACCTTTCTTCTCAGGGTCATACATCGACTGAGTAGAAGTAAAAGACATCACGTGCATACGGGAGGAATTAACTCAACGTACTGTGTTTAGTGAGCGGTCTTTGTTTTCAAGTGGATAAAAGTTCAACTCCATCCATTAACCCTATAGAAATGAATTCTATATGACTTCTCTTAACAAATAAACCTTTTGTATTTGGTTTGAGAAAACGTGCTCCATTGTACTGCTGCTGGTCTATCAGTGGAACTGCTCTTCCTATTGTGCAGATTTGCCGACTGTAAACGACTTAACTTCAGGCACCAAAACCGGATTCCAGTGAAGCTTGCAGCTAACTCATTAACCCTATGGGCTATTTTCAGGGTAATTTCACTACCTTTACTCTTAAGCTTTTATCCTTGTGATTATAAAGGGTAGCCATTCATGCCGTATCTTCTTTTCTTCAGAGCAATCTAGGCAATCTACGTCTTCCTTTTTTTATATAAATATATATATAATACTTGCACATTTTCCATATTAGCCTTTACATAAAGAAAAAAAAAATCAGACCTGGATTAGTCTTCAGGGAAACAACAAGCATCATCAAAAAGATTGAGCTGTTTATTATAGATTTATATAGATTTGGTGATCGATGAAAAAGGGTGTCATCATACTGGTATTACTTTGGTCTGATTTTATTAATTTTTATTTATTTTTGTGACATGATATTGCTCATTGGATGGTACATCTTTGCACAGTGTTTGTGAGTGATTCAAACATGGTGTGTAACGACAGACGCACAGCTGCACATTGTTTCTCACCAACACTTCATTGCACAGACAAGCAGGTAGCATCGTCGGAAAGGTCAAGACATGCCGTTTCATTAATATGTGCTGTGCATCGCTGCAAAGAACACTTTGAGTGTAAGTCAGCCGAGAAGAAGGGATGTGATCCGGATGTGAAGCGCGTCCGTCGAGTTGACAGGGTTAACCTCGAGAAGCAACATTACGCTTGTTTGCGTTGTCCAAACAGCATCAGGAAATCCATCCATCCATCCATCATCTACACACCGCTTAATCCTCACTAGGGTCATGGGGGGCTGGAGTCTATCCCAGCTGACTCAGGGTGAAGGCAGGTTCACCTAGACAGGTAACCAGTCTATCACAGGGCTACACTTAGAGACAGACAATCAACTCACATTCACACCTACGGACAATTTAGAATCACCAATTAACCTCAACATGTTTCTGGACTGTGTGGGAGGAAGAACCCGGAGAGAACCCACGCTGCACGGGGAGAACATGCAAACTCCACGTAGAAAGATCCTGGGTGTCCTCACCGGGACGCGAACCGGCGACCTTCTTGCAGCGGTGCTAACCACCGAGCCACCTTGCAGCCCGCACCAGGAAATGTGCTACCAAAAGTCAAAACCTCCTTTATTACAAATAGTGACAAGTGTTATGTCATCAATCTGTCCTCGGCAATATCAAACAATAAAAAGAGAACAGAAAACGGAAAATTCTCCTGTTGGCAAAGCACATTGAATCTGACTTGTTCCATCAACTTTTATTTAGTTCATTTATTTATTTAGTTTATTTTTAGTTTATTTATCTATTTTTAGTTTTTGTGCCTGAACGTGTGCTAAATTATCTGTCCTCCATCTGATCAAAGAAAGTTGTTTAAATTCCAGCACATGCAGAATGAACAGCAAGAAAAATTAGTCAAATGTTTGAAAAATTAATTAATCTGAGAGCGACGTATTTCTTAACATGTTACAAGTTCAATTTGTGCTTAAATAGGAAGAGAAAGGAAATCTAGTTAAATCATAAGAACTTTCACGACAGGTGAAGTGCTTCACTCTGAACTTTTCCAAAGTTTTCACACACCGGAGGCCAACATCGCCGCTAAACACCACACTGACAATAATTAGGCATTCAGCTTAAAGAGAGGGGGAGAATAATTACGGCACCACGAGGTGAATGAATGCAAGACAGGAGGCTCAAACTGGGCTCCGTTTAAATCCTCTGGTCCCTTCTCAAACAGCCCTCTGATTACGAGTAAATAATCTCGTCTTCAGTCATTCAGCTGCACATTAAAACATTTATGAGGATGTAATGGTCACATTTAATGACAGCTTAGAGCCACAGCAAGACACAATCTCCTGTTTATAAAACGCAGGAGGAGAAATTAATTTTCTACTCTTCGGATATCAATGATGATGCTGCATTTTGTTTATAACTCAAATAAAACCCAAAATTCCTCCAGTCTGCTGTGTAAGACGTGGTATCCTAAGCCAGTTGAAGTTGGAGGTGAGAGCGAAGACATGTCAAATATCAGCACACTGTACAGTCAGGTCCCGCTAATCCAGTCACAATAGAAATTTGAGCTGCCTGAAGGGTGCAACCCCCAAACATGGATAATGCTCGGCGATTTACATAGCTGATCTAACAATCAGTGTTTCCCAGCCCTCACTCAGATGGTGCGGGACTGTCGTGGATTGGAGTGGAGCTCTGGGTAAACCTCTTTACCATGCAGATCAAACAGAGGCAGACAGACTGGAGGGCTTGTGGCTACCCGGCTCTCAGCATGTTTAGTGGATTCAGTCTGCTGTGGCTCTGACCCAAAGACAACTGCACTGAGCATTGAGCAAATCCTTCAATCCACAGATTGACGCTCCCAAGCCTCTTAATCAAATAAGGCCATTAGCTCCATCGCAAGTAATCTGGGCCTCCAGCACCCACAGACCAGAGCTCTCACTCAGCCAAAAATCCACACAGTGGTAGCACCATGATGACGGACTTTTTTCGGAGAGGCTCCCTGAAACTGAGCAAAAAAAATGATGCCACAAACGATTCTATGATTTCCAGGAAAATGGGCCGAGAATGCAGATGAGGTGGCAAATGGGGAGATTGTTTTATCCTGCAAGTCAGGTTTAAAGCTGGATTTGAGCAAACAATTTGAGCACGAGCAAAAAAAGTTTCAAATTATTCTGAGAGGACCATGCGCACGTCAACCCACTGAATACAAATTACGTCTAGTCTTTGAAAAGTTTACACGCGGCTTCCTCTGCTCGCAGGCAGCCCATCGCTTTTAGTTCATTCCAAGACGCTACAGTACAAAAGCCAACTTGAAGAAACTTTTAAACTGGCTATAAATAGGTAATCCGGCACTGCGGCACAGCATTCGCTCTGTCTCATTTGTTTGTCAGTGTCACATGTTGTGCAGCAGCAAATATGAACCGTGTTGACAAAAGAACATCTCCTGCTGTACATTTGAGACGATTCAACAGCACTGAAAACGAACGCCAGACAGCAAACAGCATGCTTAGTTCAAGTTTTCTATGAAGTCTACGGCCGACCAAATAATAGAAAACTGATTTAACCCTCTGAACCTCGGACAGTTCTTGGTGTTTTTGCTCCTGACACATTTTAACTGCATTATAAAGTGAAATAGTGGAAACAGCACCGCCATGCCTAGAAGCAGGGAGATGTCAAAAATGTATTTTGCATATATTTGCAATCAAAAAGACAAAAGCTGAATTTCTTTTGATTACTTATTTTACAAAAATTGGGGGAAAAAACAGGGAGTTAAGAGGTGCAATGCAGTTGTTTTCAATCATAGGAAAGTCAAAAAGTTTATTTCACGTTACTGTTAGTTGCAGCTGAGTCACTGAAGACTTCACAGAGGCAATGCTGAATTTTATTTTTACTTTTACTGAATGTGATAATGGAAAAGGCTTTATGTTTTGGAGAATTTTAAATGAGACGAGTAGGGTAAGGTACTTTAAGCTTAGACTGGGTTAGGTTTTCCGACTGCAGATCTCAGATGAGTTGTTCATGAGGGTCGTAAAGCTAAAAAATCTAAGACTTTAGTTGGTTTTTACATTTTCTGGGTCTCATAAATGGAGTAATGTTGGCGATTTTTTAACATGCCTTTCAAACCCACAGGTGGACTTTGGGGTTCAGAGGGTTAAAACTCAAAATGATCCTGTTTGAACATATAAAAGGTTATTTAACAACACATCCCACAATCCTCTAATGTTGTTCAAGTTGCCTAAATTAAACCTGAAGACTCTGAATCTACACAAACCCTACATTTCTACATAACAGACCCATCAACCCGCCACTTTCACATACTTTGTCCAACTTGCAACACGGTAATAAAAGTCCAGTTCACCACTTTTTTTGAACACTCCTTGTTCTCTTTACAGCCACTCATCATCATGTCAAACCCTCAGTTCAGTACAAATCCTCAATCCAGAGCCTTCATAAACACTCTCCTAAAAGGGAACAGCGCTTCCACCCACTGCCACCCATACTGCCGTTACCATCCCGAGCTAATAGATATCATGAGTCAGCCTCATGAGTGCGGTCCTACCTTCACAATAGGTAGAATCCCCGTGGATGGAGGCGTAGCCGCTCCTGCATTCACACTCCGCTTTAGTATTCCTGTTTTTACACTCCGAGTTTTCTCCACAAATGAGTCCCTCTGCGCAGAAGTCATAACCTGGAAGAGAGAAGCGAAAGAAGCCTTAAAAATGTGTTCACGCAAGACGGTGAAAAGTTGCGTCCAGACACACAAACACGACGAGATAAGAGCAAGACAAATGCAGGAAATGGCAAACTTTGTGTTCTGTGGATGACAAGATGTGTAAGTTATGACTGCAGTAAATGTGGTGCAAGAACAAAAGTTATGTCTTTCCATTAAAGCATAAACAATACAAAGAAATTCAAATATGTGAAAGTCTGATCATTTGGAAACAAGTCAAAAGATGCCATCCATCCAGATAAACTGAGTAGAACGCTCTCTTGCTCTCTTGCTCTCTTGCTCACGATTTGTTCTTGTGACATTTTGAGTTGTTCTGCAATAACTGACACACGCGTGATTTAAAGGATGCGTGCACAAACAATATCGCTGCCACTTCAACAGATACATGCAGAAGCAAGAACTCCCCGGTGCAACATCACTTAAATGTCAAATGATTCAGAATTCTAACACCGTGCAGGAATCGCATCACGTCTGTGTTGAATAAACAGCTTAGATTTATTATATTAAAAATACAGCCCCCTTTGAACACCTTTCATTACTGAGATTCAAATCTTATTTCTTCTGTGTATCCACTCTTTATTTTCAACGAGTGACTGAACCCTTCTCGGCACGGAGGACGCCACATGTCATGAGAGATGTTCTGGTGTTCTTTAGAGATGATTTTTTCAGCTGCTTTTTGCTGGAGGGGTCATGTAACTCTGCTTTTCTCTATAAAATACCCCAAAGGTGTTTTGCTGGAGTTATTCAGGCGACACATTGGCCAGGTCACATTTTTCACTTTTTCCGTCTTTAGAAAGTCTGGTGTGATTTTGGATGGTCACCAAGCTGGAATATTTCCCCTCTGCCAAGCTTCTCAGCCTCTCTTTGGGTGTGTCCACAGGCATTCATGGTTCCCTCTATAAACGTCACATCCTCAACAACTTTTGTACTCATGCAGCCTCCTATCATTACATGGTCTTCTGGTTTGACCATGTTGATGCCAAACATACTGGAGCCCAGTTGTGTTGAATACATTTATCTTGGTCTCATCTTACCACAAATTGTGCCCCCATTGTTCATGACGCTTGCTTTTATGTTCTTTAGCAAAGTTTACCTTTGTAGTCTAATGCCGAACAGCAAGTTGGGGTTTTCATCTGAAGCCCACTACACACGCTGCGATTTTCGGCCGTCCGAGACGTAAGATCGTGAGAGAATCGTGGCAATATCTTTGGTCTTGACTCGAAACCGGTGATCCTACGTTGCACTATGAGACAGCTTCAAGGACGGCCGTTGACATGGTCTTAGGAACAAAGACAACCTGCCATAAAATTCTGACGGTGTGAGAAGTTTGGGGTGATCATCTCACAGTGTGACTGCTGCTGCCACCTACGTCAACTAACTAACCAATAGAGATGCAGTATGAAATAACGTACTGATCAGCATGACACTAGGTCGTCCCACGACTAAATGCCACAAGGACGAGGGCTACGTTCATGCTTCGCTGGTTTCTGTTTTCTGGATGGATGGTGCACACTTACGATGTTTTATTCTTGTGCATTTATGTCAACTCACGTACATTTATAGAATAGAATAGAATAGAATAGAATAGAATTTTATTGATCACTTTGGTGCAAACCTCAGGGAAATTGTTGACTTATTAGAGTAAGTTTATTAGATTCATGTCGTACAGTGTAGTTAGCTATGAACTTACAAGATTGTTAAAATCGTTCAGTTTGTAGTCAGCCTTAGACGCTGCTCATTGACATTACAGAAACTCAGATTTTCATTGACAGCCAATGTGTGAAGTCTGATGTCTGATTATCACACCTAGATTTTACAAGCAGTGCACTGTCCTTGGTGTAATTTCAGGAGGACGACCACTGCAGCTCTGATTAGTGGTACCATGGCTCCTTCTATACCTCCTGTACTCTGCTGTGTCCATCTTTGTGAAGCCTTATAATTACAAATTTCCACTTCCTCTGCCAATTCTTTCCATGTGGAGCCATGATAAAGACATGCAGACAGACACAGCCCATGAGTTGAAAAAGTGTCGGGTGTTCACAGCTAATTTTATAGTTTATAGTTCATGCAGGTAGGCTGATTGGAAATCAGGGGATGGTTTTCCAACGTAGGTGACAGGTGTAGCCAGTGTTTAGTTGTATGGATTTGAATGATTTCACAGTGAAGTGATACCACACTGAGGTGTGCTCACTCCTATTAAATACTGCTGATGCTTAAGCAGCAGATGAATTCAGGAGTAGCGACTGCAAAGTTCAGAGTTTCACAGTTTGGCTTCCCAGCTGTGAACGTGGTTAGTCAAGCTTCTGTTTAAGAGCTGAGTTGAATCTCTCCACCTTCGCTCCACCCATGTGCCACATGCCACTTTTTCAAAATCTGAACCAAACCCAGAATAAGACACAGCGCATGTGGAGAAAATCTGACACAACAAAGGACTAAGAATTAGTCTGAGATAAGGAGGGTGACAGACAAAGAGATGATTGTCTCCCTGCTCGGTAGGAATGAGCTGATGTACCCATCACGTCCTGTAATGAGTGACAGACAGGCAGCACATAAAAGCCCCCGAGAGGCAGAACGCCGCCTGGGGAGCCATTATTGAAGGAAAGAGCTGCGTCTGCATTATTCTTCCAATCACCTCATTTTACCATCTTCAGCAGCCCCCCCACAGAACGGTGCGCACCAGCCAAAGCACTGGTTACACAAGGACCGTACACACACATGTACAGTACGGTGCACTTCTCACACAGCGACGTTGTGTTTGCCGGATTTTGATCTGCGAGGTGGCTCCTCGCTGTGGATTTCTTTGTTTTTCTGTTTCAGTAAAATAGTGGGGTACGAACACTCTGTGACAATTGTGTAATTACCAATTTAACGGCGCCGACGTGACTCTGAGGACTTAACAGCGAGGCACAAATAAATTTTCAGAGTGGTGGCAAAGTCGTGAGATACACAGTGGAAAAGAGGTCTGGAGATGATTTGGAAATAATGACCGGCTCTGAGTTTTAGCCACTGTGTGTGTGTGTGTGTGTGTGTGTGTGTGTGACAGAGAGAAAGAAAAAGGGTTGAAGGGAAGAGACACTGAGACTCTAATCTTTAATTGCTACTTCTTACTGTATAAACCCTCCTCTCGCCTTTTCTCCTCTCTCTGCTCTCCTGTCCTCCTTCTAAGCCCTCTTCTCTCCTTTTCTTTCTTTCCAATACAAGGATACTTCTTCTCTTTTTATCTCATTTCCTTATCTCGACATATCTTTTGTCACATCTCCTGTTCTAACACGCTGCCTTTCATTTCCATTCTTTCTTATTTCCTTTCCTCCTTTGAGCGTGGCAGGTTGGAGACTTTATATTTTCTCCACCTCCTCCTGCTGTTTACACTCTATTTGTCATCTTCTTTCCTTCTCTCTTCCCCCTTCTCTATCCTCTAAGCATGTATGCCTTCTATTTTGCATACTTCTCATCTTCCTCTGCTCTCAACATGGCGAATCTAAGTCTAATGCCGCCTGTCTTACCTCAACGCGAGCACAATTTCCATCACTCAGAACCTTCCGCAGGATTCTTTCATTACGGCTCTATAGCTGACAGCCTCCTACAGTTTGTGTATTCAATGTATTTACTGAATTACTGGTGGCTATTTACCCTGTAGTAACTCCCTGCCAAAGCAGTGGGGTTCAGGCAAATAGGCATAGCAGGTGCTTTATAGCAAACAGGCAAATCTGCTCTGATAGGTATCCCAGCCAAAAGGCATGAATATTGGGCGTATAGGGAAAAGGAAACCAAATTACTGCAGAGGTTCAGCCTGAATCAACACCGGGAAGGCGAGGATGTGTTTATTTCGGGGTGTTGACGCGTGCTCATCCAAAGACAGAGGGATTCGTGCGACTGAGAGCAGAGCGGAAAAGGAGGAAGGCGTACCTCTGCAAACGTTGCAGCATCTGCCGTCTGGTAGGATCTGTTCGCTGACGGTGCAGTTGATCTCTGGACAGGTTTCTGTGACTTTCACCATGAGGCCGTTCTAGAAGGACAAGACAGAGGCAAGACATAACAGTTTACAGGAAGGTCTTTGCATGAAGAAAGACTTCAGATGTCTGCGAAGATTCTCAGTCATCCAGGTCATGGCTATACCCGTAGTTTGTACTAACTGGACTTGCTTGAGTTTCTTGAAGACGCTCTACCTCTCAACCAAGAGGCTTCATCAGCTCTGACTGACTAGTTGGAAGTTCCAGATACTTATATTCTTAAGGAGCCATTAACACTTTATTTCCGCACCAGTCGAAGGGCGTTATTCCCGAAATGTGTAGCAACATGTCTGCGAAGATTCTCAGTCATCCAGGTCGTGGCTGTTCTCGTAGTTTAATCGTAACAACTGGACTCGCTTGAGTTTCTTGAAGACGTTTCATGTGTTAATGGCTCCTTAAGGATATAAGTATCTGGAACTCCCAATTCGTCAGTCAGAACTGATGAAGAGGTGAAACATTTTCAAAAAAATCAAGTAAGTCCAGCTGATACGATTAAACTACGAGACAAAATGACTTCAGATCTGTCCCAGGGTTTAAACCTCCAGCTTCTCCAACCTTTAGGTCACCACTTTTTCAGTACTTTCCCTACAATTAATCAACTAAGGTAACTCTCACATGAGTGGTGCTTTAAAAGCTCATATTGGGTTGTGACTGACGTGATTAACTCCACCAACTAGCAGCATATAAAAGTTTCCCAGTCTAGTCTAATTAACATTACTATACAACTAAATGGAATTCTCCATTACTTTCGGATTATGTTTGATTGTAACGTTTCACAAATACATTTCTAATCAAGGTTTCTTTTCAGCAAACCAGTCATATATTGGGTTGGGCGGGGCTTGTCGCTCCTGTAGCCTAGAAAATGAAGAAGAAGCTTCAAACATGTAGTAAAAGGGTCGTATTTTAACCCAAACCGTGGTATCTTATTCATGTAACTTTGGTGCTAAACCATGTCTCCAGCCTGTTAAAGTGTCTAACAAAGCGTGGTGTTTTTCTAAACCTAGCCATGTAGTTTTGGTGCCTAAATCTGACCAGAGAGTGAGTAAAAACAAAAACTAAACAACGAAACAATACAACACTGATGGTCTTCTGGGTTCAAATCCGGTCTCTGGTGTATTTCTTCACCCTTTCTTCCTGCCTTGTAATGTAGATTCCGCGACTCTTCCAAACCTGAGGCCTTTCTTTACCACCTCACAAGTGGCACAATTCTTTCAAAATGATATTTTGTGTTCCTCAGAATGTAATTAAGAGTGCAGCTTGGTTGCATAGGTGCGTAAATTTGTGTTTAAACCAAGTAGGTTTCTTGCTGATTTGTTGCCAAACAGCATTCACATGGGTTGTTTTTATAGATGGTGAGAACTAAAATGGTGAAATCCAGCAACAAGCAGCATATGAAATCACCTGTTTGATGTTCTGCAGTAGGCTGTGGAGCTAAAAATGAATGTATGGTTACTCTACAGCAACAAATGAGCTCAGCTTAGATGTACACTGACCACTAAAGCTGTAATCTTTTATATAACGGCTTGTCTCTGAAAGCTGCCACTTTGTTTTCCTGATCTGTCCATCATTATCTGAAGGTCTTAACTGTGTTTAGAAAATGTTTGAAATAGTAAGCGTTTTACAACTCTGCCTATAATTAAAACGTTGAATTGTTTAATTCTTTAATAAGTGCTTTCAGAGTTCTGTGACCCCCCGTCAAGGCCTTCACCTACACAGCTCTCACCGCTCTCAACATTATAATTTCAACATCTGAAAACTGAAAAGGGGATGATTCTTTTAAAATCTATTGAGCCACGCTGACAGTTAAAAGGATGTTTTGAAATGTTAAAAAAAAAAAAAAAAAACAGGGTATTTTTAAGATGCTCCTGACTGAATGAGGCTTCCATGACAACAGAGAGGCGGCGATGTAAAGGCCGTGCACGCTGTTCACATTCAAAAGGAGGCCATGAATACAGACAACAGCCGAGGTGCAGCTTCACACAACCAAAGTAGAGAAACACCGGTAGATAAAACTTGGTGTCGTCTCCCTGTGGGCCTTCAAAAATAAATAGCAGGTACACGGCTGCAGCCTGGCTGCTGCGTTAGACATGTGGTGGTCCCTGTAAAGCCTTCAAGGTCTCAAGTATCACCTCGAATCCTTAAGATGCTTTTGTCCTTCAACATCGAGCTGTTCCTTGAACCACATTAACTTTCTTCTCGTGTCATCTTTTAATAGTGGAGTTGATTTGTGAGCCTTTTATCAGTCAAATCATCATCTGATTAACTAATGGGTGGAAATTAATCAGTCTTTCAGTTAATTAAATAAAAACTGCACTATTTTTTATTCATTTTTTTACATGTACAATGGCTTAAAGGACAATGTTTAACTTGATTAACAACACTACAGAGCCTTTGTTAGGTGCTTGTTTTTGACAAAAATGCTTTGATAAAGCCATCGTGTCTCACAACAAACAGCAGACCGAGAAAGTTTGGGCAACCAGCTGCCTCATCCTAAAGAGGCAGACAGATGTTTCTCTCAGGAAGTGGTGGAGACCCAAGCAGTGTTAGAAGCATAGACTGTATAAAAGATGGATGTAGCAACCGGCCCCGAATAATGAAGCCAACCCGGAAGTGTCAGGATTTTTTTTTTTATTAGTTTTCATGGTCAAATCCAGAGATCAGGTGGCCAATCTGAAAATAAATCAATACTGAATTTTAAAAAAATCGTCAAAATTTTGCAGGGCAAGGGGCGTGGCTGGCTTGATTGACAGTCGGCAGCAACCATGCAGACGAAGCGAGCAGAAGGCGGTAAATGTGGGCGGGCAGAGAGGGCCCGCCTCTCAATCCGTCTGACCAATCGCTGCTCCTATGGCTCCGCCCCCCTCCCACGATTTTTGCGTCACTGGCTCCAAAAATCCAAGATGTCAACCAGGAAGTAGCAAAACCCTGGCTTCATGTTCTCAGTGCAGAAACCAACGGGTGACGTCACGGTAGCTACGTCCATCTTTTATACAGTCTATGGTTAGAAGGAGTGCTCACGTTGGTTTTTGAATGTCGGCTCAGACATTTCTGTTCATATCGGGTGATTTCACAGCACACAAATTCTATAGAATACCAGAGTTTATTGGAAATGCAGAAGGGTGCATGTAAGAATACACACTTCCATGCTGCAGACTAAACTTCAGATGTTTTAAATATGTCAAGCAGAAAAACTACAGAGTGAACATGCTGTGAAAAATAAAACACAATGAACAAAAAACAGGACTTATTTCTCTTTATGAAATGGCACAGACAAAATAATGATGAGAATATAAAATAAAACAAAGGCTGTAGAAAGAGATATTGGGAAAACTTCCAGTTTTTGCTGAAAATGTTGAGTCCCTGAGAGCTATTAAAGAGGTGACTTGGCTCTGAGTTGAAACCAGCGGCTGCCTCTGTAGTGAATCAAACTGAAAACTGACGGCACGCTTTTGGAAAATGATCAAGTGCTCGGGATTTGCAGCCTTAAAGATGCAAAAACACTAATATAGACCCTTAAATTGCCACTAATAGTTTGAGCTGAGTGATATATTCCACAGAGCATCCGTAAATAATTTCCTCCTTCTCTTTTATTGCTCCTGTTTTTTGTTTTGTTTTGTTTGTTTGTTTCTTTTCTGAAAGGCCTGGAGAAGAAAGGCTGTACATCAAATCAGTAGTCACAAGAGACACTCCTTTAAAAGTCACTCGCTCTAGACACACACCGAGGCGAAATTCATGAGCCGTCAGTCGCAACATAAAACATTTTCTGACCCCTTCAAAAAAAATAATTTGTCCACAAATTGGTCATTTAGAAGCGTTCACATCCAGGATAAAAGATGGCTGTAATTGCTTGAAACAAAGCTCACAAACAGTATAATGATGTTCCGGGGTCTCTGGGGGCTAATAAAGAGTCCAGGAATCCACTGTGGGGCTCTTTGTAAGCAATTACATGCATGGAACGCTAATTTTCTCCTTAAAATAGTCTCTTTCAAGATAAATGGCTTCTCAGTGAAGAAAGCTCACCTCTGTTCTATGCTGAACTGGAATAATGACTTCAATTATAATCCACGCGATGATGAAGCTCCAATTCAAATCAGGCCCTTTGTGTTGCTGTGTTCATAAGTTATTCTAATTACCTGGCTATCTCACTATTAGAGCGGAGAGAAGGGAAAAAAAAAAAAAAAAAGGCAGATTGAACAGATTGCGGGAGGGTGGGAAAACTAATAAGGCCTGCTGGCTAATTGAATAACACACCAAGCAGTCCACCACACACAATCGCTGCCTGTTTATGCTGCAAAGACGAGCTGCCTGGTAATCTGATTGCAGACTGGAGGCTAAATGCTGGACCAAAAAATGGAAAATGTAAGAAAAAGTATTACCTTGCATTCCCTGCAGCTTCTGGATAAAAAGCGCTGGCCTTCGGAAAACGTCTGTCCCATGTAGGTACATTTTGCTGCAGGGAGGAAAATAGAACATGATAGTTTCTATATCACTCTATTAAGGTAAGTACAGTAACTATAAAACGCCAGAAAGTGAATAATTCCTCAGCTAGTAGCATCTGTGGTGCTTTGAACAACAGTGAGATGTGCTTTTCAGATTGCCTGCAAGAGAAGGAGGAAAAAAAAAAAAGTTTCCAGGCTGAAGTTCCTGCATAGTTAATTCTGTTGGAAACAAAGTTGTTCTTGGCTAGTGTGCATAAGCGGAGAGGAAATGTAACAGCGCATTAAGAATACAACAGAGGAAGGCCCTTCTGCATATTCCTCTGGTGATAAAGCAGAAATAGAAAGTGAAGCATATGATATGAAGTCCTGCTTTTCTCCTCTCCAGGGTGCAGGACCGCGGAACGCTCAGTCGCAGCTCTGGAGCCTCGGCTCCCTCGTTCGTCTGTGCCAGAGCTCTGATGTTCACAGGGGAGGAAGAGGAGGAGGAAGGAGCGCAGCGCAGGGATGGAGGGAGGGAGGCAGAGGAGGGCTGGAATTATTCAAAGACGCTCTATACTTCAGGGATTCAGCGTATTTGCAGTATAGTATGAGAAGACACAGTTGTCCGTGGGCCTGTGAGCGCTTATCGGACCCCTGTGTGCTTCACGCTTAAAATAGTGCCACTGTTTCAGCGCCGATGAAAATCAGACGACTGTGATCTTTGCTCTCGCAGATAATTTATTCCGGTTTCATTGTGGCAGCAGAATCATCAACCCACAAACAATAGCCCCGCTTCTTTGTCTCCGCTGTGGTTCTGGTTGAATTAACGCCTTCAAAAGCATAAACTATGGTAAAGAAATCCAGCTGAGCGCGTATTCAGAGACTGTGAAAAACAATAGCACTGATAATTTGTTCAGGCAGATGCAAAACAATATACAGCCTTGCACTGCATTTACTGTCAGACGCTCGACTTGAATGTCCAACTTCTGAGCAGCGGCTGCAGCCACTAACTTCACAATCCGATGTGCCACATATTAAAGATGTCAAAATCGATTTGGTTTTTCTCAACAAATGACCGCAATGATGCAAAATGATTTGTCAGAGTTTGGAAACTCAATTGACTGCTTGCTATATTTTGTGGTTGTGTGACTGTCTCCCAGTAGCAAAAGAGCAGAAAGTAGCATGACAATGTTATACGGCTGCAATAAAACTTGGGTAAGACCAGAAATCTTGCTGTGGCAAGCAAGGAAGGTTTGTCTGAAAATGAAGAAATTTCAGCCAGCAGGCAAACAAAAGCCGTCCACAAGTGAATACTGACTAAGCACAAACTTTTTAATTACAGTTGCATGCAGTCTGCATACGGTATGCAATTTATAATTAGCTTAAAACAAATATGCTCTTCGCTGTTTGAATGTTTTTCTTTCTTTCTATTTTTTTTTTTTCAACTAACAGGTCTTTAAATTTATGCAGAAACAATAAAATAAAAAGAAGAAAATAGAAAATAAGCAGTTTTTTTCTAGCTTGTCAAAACAATTGCCTAAAATAACATCTTCTACTGGAATAGAATATATCAACAGTAATTAGCCACTGTAAGTTAAATGCCAGTAGTTAAACTGCAAGACTTAAAAGTCAATTTTCTGAAAATAGTGCAGGATTACCGAGACAGTTAACTGGGATTGCTCGTGTTTGCAACTAATATAAAAGCAGATGACCATAAATGAATCTTTTCCTTACGCTGCTGATTTAATTTATGAGCATCACTCTCCATACAGTCCAACAGAGTTTGCATTTGCAGAGCAACAGTGTCAGCCACTTTGAAATGGTAGAAACCGTGTTGCAGTCTAAGCAGCATGAAGGTTATTTACATTTTTGACCTGAGGGCATCCGTGTGGTGTGAAAGGTATTTCTGCACACTAGCCGAAGGGGAATTTCACAAGCGAACTTTTCTTCTGTTTCCTGCACCCTAAATGCGTGCCCCTGATACTTACGTCTGCACGTCTTGCAGCAGGTCCCGTCGACGTGTACAGGCAGCAGGTCTTCTGAGCAGTTTGCCGGAGGACAGAAAATCCTGCGACACTCCACCACGCCATTCTGTAAGAAAATTACAGTACTTTTTTTTTTTTAATCCAAAAAAAAACGTGCAAACATCAGAAGCAACAATCCGAGGCTCGGTGTGAACATAGGCCTACAGCTTTTGCCAGTGGCGCTGCTGAAGAATTCCCTTTGAATGCTCCTACTTTCCTTCTGTCTCAATTTACATTTGCTCAAGCATTCACGGAATTTCACATCTTTATCTGGAAGGGAAAAAAAAAAAAGAAAAAGCACTTTACTCAAACCCAACAGCGCTACATATACATAACACATCCAGTGTGATGTGTGCTTTGTTCCAGTGTGGCTTAAGCTAAAGCTCCCGCAGTATTAACACCATGTAAACAAACCCAGAAGTGTTCAGCATCCAGCGACTGCAATCTGAAACCAAACGCTATCATATTTTCGAGTAAACTATGACAATCAGAGACCAGATTCATCAGCGAGCTGATGCCGAACCCGAGCGGCCTGTTGATAGCAGGTAGTTACTCAGGCCCTGAAGGACTGCCTTCATTTTTGAGGCTGATATCTCTCTCTTAGAGTGCCTCTTCATTTCATGAGTCATCGGAAATGATTCCCCCAGGACGCCGCGGTTATCAGTTAATGGCATGTCCACGGGAGGAAAAACCCGACCGACTAAACTCCACCCTGTGCTTGATGTGCAATGATGCAGCAAGTCTAATTCCCCAGGGCCCAGACTGGCCTGATTCAACACATTTTAAAGTCTGACTCCGGCGTGTGCGTGCGGGTGGAGGCAGGCTTATTAGGGGGCGGGCGGGAGGCAGAGAGAGACAACGCAGGGCCTGGCTGAAAGGGAGGTCTGATAGGAAGCTAAAGAAGCTAAGTGTCGAATTTGAAGGAAATAGGCGGTTGTTGTGACTTTCCATTTAAGAAACATCCACCCTCGGATCCTGCTAGACCGTCATCTATCACCGATGTCTGATCTTAAAAGTGTTCCAGACGTATTTGGATCTAAATATTGTCATTTTGGTGTCTCCAACTTCTACTACCCGCCATAAGACCTTGTAGAAAAAAAAACATTTAGAGATCTTTTTGGATGTTTCACCCAATGCATGCATCCTATTTCTTCAACCAAGAGTCAAAACAAGCTGATTAGGAACATGACATTGGTGGGGTATCAACATTCCTTACCCCACCTCCCTCTCTTATCCAATTCCCTATCACGACTTTACTACTGACTGTATGTAAAGATGGACAAAACCTCCATAACTTCACCCACAGGTTTTGTAAACAGAGCTTATTGTAGTGGCTCTCGGCAACACCTGACTCTACCACCCGGCGATCCAAAACACAAGCAAAGAAGTGGAGCAGAGTGGAGACAGGCCGTGCAAATGTCTCTAAAATTGCGTCTTGTAGCGGGCTGTAAACATGTTTATATCTGCTGTAGGGTTAGGCAGCTAATGTTGGGGTCTATGGGATAATTGACTCCGTTTTGGAGCCAGCCTCAAAGTGGATTTTCAGAACTGCAGGTTTTTGCACCTGTGGTTTATTTTTCAGCTCCAGAGGTTGCCACTTGTTCTCCACTGTCAGTATAGAGGCATAAATACGTCTCTCTTAGTGTGAAATATGATCTATTTGATGTTAAAGGGGTTAAATAAATTCAGACATAAATTGCTTCCTCTCAAGATAAGGACGCTACGATTCTGCTGGTATTTTTTGCAGCAAATGTATGGGGAACAGGTTTGAATAGTTTACTTGCAATAGCAGATTTTCCATTTGAACAAAATAATAAGGGTTCAATGACAGACATTTGACATAATGGGATGTTTTTGGCCTTTGATTTCGAGGATGAGGGCGACACTCACCTTACATGCACAGTTCCTGCAGTTCTCCGGCTCGACCCACAGCTCTTTATCCCGGTAGACGAGGCCGTTGGCGCTGCAGGTCCTCTCGCAGTGGCAGCCCTCCAGCTGGGTCAGCCTGGACTCGGCGTAGTTCAGCTGCACACAGGATCACCAGAGTCACAAGACCAAATCGGAAGTCTGAGTGCGAGCAAAGCGCAGGTTCTCCCCTCAACCCCGCACCCTTCGCCCTCTGGCGTGCCCCGGTCGGTTTTCAGAGAGAGCTGCTCCGCTGGGAGCCACTCATTAGAAGGGCACATAGAATAATAAGTGATCATCTTTCAGCTCATGCTCCAGACCTCAGGCTATAATCTACTGAGAAATGACGGATAGGACTGACAGCTCCCATCCTGCCTCATCCCTCTTCCGTTGCTGCACAATGATCAGCCCCTTCTTCTCCTCCAGCTTAGTTAAAGCTCAGCACTCTCAGCGGTTGTCTCTCAACAGAACAGATGCGTCTTTGTGTGACGCGGCAACGTGCACTGAAACCAACCTGGGTTAGCCTGACATCAGAATTTAACAACTGTCTAACCTGGATATTAAATCCTACTGTCCTGTATTTGTTTATCAAGGTATGGTTTGCAAGAAGCATCATTTATGCCCAGGTTATGCTGGCAGCATTTGTGTCTGTGTGTTGTTGTTGTTGTTTCTGAAGAATTTGAATTTTTGGTAGCACGGTGCAGTCATGTGGAGGAGGTCGGGGTGGATGGAAGGCAGTGGACAGCAGGGTTAGCATCACAAGTGTAACAGGTAACAAGGGCACATGGTTTAACAACGGTTTTTCCTCTAACCTTAACCGAGTGCTGAGAGTTTCTCAACATAAACAGCTTTAGCGGCTACAAATGAATGGTGCATCACAAAAGCAGATAGTAAATAATAAACAGTTGACATCTGATGCAGCTTACATACCGTATATAGCAACACAATGTGGTCATTATTAACACAAAGATTACGATAATTTTGCCATTATTCTCAGTATTAAGTCATTGACTGACAAACTCACAGGCATCACTACAGTCATGTTCATATCATTTCTAGCAATTAAAACATCACGCACAGAGAGAAAAAGTGTAAAGGCTGGTGGTAAGGAACAGTTTTCCATATATTGTGACTGTGGCACACAATTTTGGGGGCTTGAGAGCTTCCTTTCAAATATTTTGTTTGTCCACATTTCAAAGATACGACTCATCATCTGGCAGTTCCTTTAAACGATGCAATTTAGCAACTTCAAAATAAAAAAATTAGCAAAACATACAGTAAATGTCATTTCTAAGAGGCGAGGTAGGATAACTTTATCTCTCTTGTTCCATGTTTTAGATCTCCAGTTTAAACTTTTAACTCCACTGACATGACAAACTTAATAACAGCTTTTTAAACGGCTGAATTTTCTACTTTTTTTAAAGGAGCAAAACAAGCGAGTCAGTCACTGGAGAAAACCAAAGAGAGGACTCAACCTAATCAAGTTTTATGACGTTTTGGGGTTTTTAAAGGCCTTTTTACAGTCTGTGATGTGTCCCAGTAGGACAGGATGTGCTACTAAACCCAGCTGCGGGTGGACATATTGTTAATGCTCCATTTATGCCATTTTTTTTTCAGTGTTAATTTTCAGCTGTGGGCTAATCCATGCTGGCCTGCACAATATTTAACGGGGGATTCAAACTCAGTGAGGGTTAAAATCTTTCATTTGATACATGATTTAATTAAACTTGTGGATTTCTTTTACCTTGTTGATGCACCTGCAAGAGAAAACAGCCACGACCGGTCGTGTTGTGTGTCCACGATACCGTTCAACCACATCTCATTTGCAACATCCATCCATTATCTATACACCGCTTAATCTTCATTAGGGGGCTGGAGTCTATCCCAGCCGACTTAGGGCGAAGGCAGGGGACACCTGGACAGGTCACCAGTCTATCACAGGGCTACACTTAGAGACAGACAACCAAGCACACTCACATTCACACCTACGGACAATTTAGAATCACCAATTAACCTCAACATGTTTTTGGACTGTGGGAGGAAGCCAGAGAACCCGGAGAGAGAACATGCAAACTCCACGCAGAAAGATTCCAGTGCCCCCACCGGGACGCGAACCGGCGACCTTCTTGCTGCGAGGCAACAGTGCTACCAACTGCACCACCTTGCAGCCCGCTCATTTGCAACATGTAAAAGTGATATTAAAAATAATATCATGCACTTCATCAGCTCCGTCAAGGTTCAGCTTGTTTATCCATAATCTACATATTTGTATTCATGAAGAGTCGCTGATGGCCTGGAGCAGAAGACAGCTGTTTGCACAAACATGTAATTCACATAGAAACTCCTAAAATAAGTAAACGGACCCTCGTATAAATAATCAGAGTTCTGCTTAAAAGGTAAGAAGCTGGGAGAATTTAAGAAGGTCCAGCTGATGTGAGCAGCGCAGGTCAACTGAGAAATTGTGAGTCCACTTAAGACACTTAAATCTGGTCTACAGCTCTGCTTTCTTTCCCCCCTTGTTGCTCCTCTGAGACCTGCCCAGGCCTCGGTGTCAGAAAGAGAAGAGTCGTAGTGAGATGATAGAGGCTTCTCAGGAAAGAAAAAAAAAAAAAAAAGAAAAGGAAAAGAGAAATGCTAGATGTCACTGAGGCTTTTTACTTCATTTAGAGAAGTCCCAGCTGGCTGCTGGCGAGCTCTGTGAGTGGTGAATGGTAGAGATGTGTCCTGTCAAAGCCCTAAACAAAATGTTTGAAATGCAATTTCAAAGGCTGGGAGGCTGCCTTGAGGCACCACAGTGGAATACCTTTCCTGTTCAACTGCGAGCATCAAATGGCACCGTGATGCCGCACAAAGGAGTCAGAGGCTAATAGGCGTGTATCTCCTATGGTTGATACATGAGGCTGGGAGACGTGTGAAATAATAAAATAACAGCTGAGAAGAAAGTCCAAACAAAGGAGGGCGAAGGAAAAGATGCATTTATTACGTCTCACTTTGTATTCAAGCTTGTCTGATGCACATCTCAAGCAAGTGTAAGTGAAATTCTGGGGACCAATGAGTCTTGGGCCAAAGACTAATTCATGGCAATACCACCAATATGTGCAATAATGTCAGTACTCGGTTCATTCTTAAATGTCTGCACTATCTTTCCTGCTGTAACATTGCAAATTTCCCCACTGTGGGATTACTAAAGGGTTATCTTATCTTGTTAGATTTTGATTGTAATCCAGATCTGTGATGCTTGTCATTATTATATTCTATCTTCACCAACAAAACAAACAGACACCGAGGCTTCGTTTGAAAGCCGATACACCGCTGCATCTAAAAATGCAAGTGCTGGAAATGCTGCACATCTGAATTCAGAGCAAGTCGGGGGATCCTTCTCTGTTCGACTTCCACTGGCAGGCGAAATATTAACATGCAAATGCAGTGGAGGGAGCTGAGACACAAACATAGTTGTAAGCAAGAAAATCGTGAAATATATGACGACCAAACCCCTTTCCGTGGGGGAATATGCAGGATTTTGACACTTTAATGGTCATCTAAACACAACACATCAGCAAAATTCATCCTGTACTTTTTCAGATTCCATCTTCCAGTGTTTTGGCACTTTCCTTAGATATGGGATTAACAATACATTTTAATTTATAACTCATTTATAGCAGCATGTTGGATTCCACTTGCCTATTCTGCAACACCAGACTGATGAGCCAAATAATTTCTATGTACAAATGCCTCCAACATGTGCTATAATCCTGCAACACGGAACTACTTTAAACCAATCAGCCACAAGGTTAAAACCACTGGTAATACAGTGTATGTCCCCTTTCTGCCTGCTGGGGCATTAACACGGGACCTCAGGGGGTATCCTGTTTTGTGTGGCACCGGCACATCGTTAGCGGATCCTCTGGTTCCTGAGGGTCACGCAGCCGGCTCTCCGTGGATTGGGCCTGTTCCCATCTGGGGAGTTTGGATGCTGGGTCAGCGCCTTGGGCTGTTTGTCATGTTCCTCGAGCCGCTCCAGAGCAGCTTTTGCAGTGTGGCGAGGCGCATCAGGACGCCGCCACTGGGGAGAGTCTGGAGCAATGCTCAGGCAGGTGGTGCGTGTCACAGGTTTCCCGGTAGATAATGGCGCTGTACCGAGAAAATCAATGTAAATCACTGCAGCTGTAAGTGCTTTTAATGTTGTTGCAGTTCCACGTGTGGACTGTGGATCACCCTGACTTCTCACTTGCCACCTCTGCAGTAGGAAACACTGTGCATATAATAATGCACACAAAGCAAGCCTCCATAAAATTATGCTCAACTTTGCTCCTAAATTAGCCAAAAACTTTTTCTCTGTGTGGCCCTCCTCGGAGGCAACTTGTCGGCAAATCAAACCGGCTATCCTGCAGGAATAACAAACATATTTACAGCCGGCACAACTCGTTACACTGGAGACCGCTTTATAGACTTAAAGCCTCTTTCATCGCTTAAACAAAAAGGGAATGCATCGCAGCAGCACTGGAGAAGAATGTTAAACAATGTGTGCATCATTTATTTAGATAGCTACCCCAAGCAAAGCGTGCATTAATGGCTTCCTTAAAGCTCACCCTGCTGTGAAGACCAACAATCTCAGAAATGCCGACTTTTCATTAGCGGGGACAGTCTTAGCAGCCTTTGTGACAGGTCATTTTTGAGATAATGCAAAGGTTTTAAAAGGGATTTGTTAGTCTAATTTGCAGGATGAGCGAGGGGACGTCTGCGAGATTCGGAATGCTTAGGGATGAATAGCGAACCGCCGAGAGAACGGTTTGCACAGGGGCCGTTAATTTGCAAAAGCTTCTCTGTGCAAAGGGGGATTTTATTTAGTAACTGAGCTCAAAACTCATAAATTCCCAAAATGTCAGGTTTTTTTTTTTTATTCAGGAGGGTCAGTTCACCTGAAATGATTAAAACAACATACCACGGGGGGGAATTTAGAGGTAGAGGAGATGATTTTTTGTTAACTGGATTAAACCTTAAATAGGATAAAACTGGACTGGTATTGATGCAGCATGCTGAGCTATCAGAAAAGAAAAAAAAATGACACTGAGCTGTTTCAACTACGATGTTTGACACAAAGGGCTTGTGCTGCCTCTCTCAGAGACACAGGTGTAACACATGCAAATGCCGCCGCGCTAATCCACACACAGAGGAGCTCATTGTCGTCTCACCTCACCTTGACACTGCACATCACACACGCCGAGGACCAGGCAATTATTCACCTCATGCTGAATTCCTCTATTTTCTAAGGCAGACAGCTATTTAGCGCTGGAAATGGCTCCGTCCTCCCTGTTGCGACTTGCATGCGCGGTGAGGTCAGGTGGCATTAGGTCGAGATGTGCTCCCGTGAAGGCGGAGGCACTGACACAGCAGTAGGGTAATGGTCTTCATCCCAACCTTATTTACACCGAAAATGATTCTATAGCTCACCCACCCGCTGAGCTGTCCTCGCTTCGTGCACTCCCACCTGATAGCATCCACTCATGCACACAGAAATGCACGATCACTTACACACACACACACACTCATGCATAGAGTGTATGCAGATGTTTTGTCTTAGAAATGGTTCAGACTCTCTCCGGTAGCTGCAGGGAGGAATGAACGCTGCCTGTTAGCCTCCTACTGTACTGATGCAGTCACTATTTCCTGACATCTCTCTGAACCCTTCATGTATTCGTCCCCTGTGTGTTCGTATGCCGCTAAAAAAAAAAAAAAACTCCAGCATCTGACTGACATTAAAATGACAGAGGCAGGATTTCAGGAAAACATTCGACTATAAATAATACAAGAGCGACAGCCCTATTTCAGCATTATGCTAATAAAAATTTGCAGCAGCTACTGCGGGAGACTGGTCAGTCAAATTCAAGTGGAGACGAATTTACCTTGATGGCAATAATTAAGGTCAGTATTTGGGTAAAACCATTTAAAAAGTCAGACCGAAAATTACACTGATGGCATTTTACTGATTGAACTATTTTGTCTCATAATCTGTAATTTAATTCCCTGAACCCAAAAACTGTAATAGAATAGTCAGATTTTCACATTTCTGACCATCCTTGAAATATATATTCCAACAAAATATTTTATTTCAATGCGTCTTATTCAAAGATTTGCCCAAAAATAATAATAATAACTGATCAGATTTATATAGCGCTTTTCTAGACACTCACTCACGCTTTACACTGTCAGTTATTCATTCACACACATTCATTCTGGTGGTGGTAGCTACCATAGTAGCCACAGCTGCCCTGGGGCAGACTGACAGAGGCGTGGCTGCCATTCTGCCCCTCCGACCACCACCTCAAACAATCCATTCATACGCATTCACACCAGGCAAGGTGGGTGAAGTGTCTTGCCTAAGGACACATGAAACAGGTTACAGGGCGGAATCGAACCGCCGACCTTCCGATCATCGACTGACTCGCTCTACCACCTGAGCCCCTAAAAAATTTAATTCTGAGCTCTTTAGGGCAACCAAAAGCCATCAGTGACTCAACTGTGACCAACAGTCAGGTGACCTAAACTGGGCAGAGCTGCAGGCTACGTATAAAGACCAGAGAGTTTAGAAACAAATAAAAAATCTAAGTAGTAGAATATCTATAGTATGTAGAGTCACTATTTATTTCCAGCACTAGTAGTTCACCCGTAGGAAAATGTTAACTTATAGTACTTAATGTGCTTCTGCTGCACAAAAGATGTTTTGAGTTCTTTCTACTCGTACAGTTTCCTCTGAGGTGCAGGATTTTATGTTGCACAGAAAACATAACTTAACTAAGGCTGGCCCCTAAAAGTTCATGTTTCAACCCACCAGCCTAAGATCCCTGATTCAACTACGATTTTCTGAAACCAGCATTTGTTTATACACATGACAATAGGCAGAGCATTCGTAGTAGTTCAAAGATGGGGTGAGACAGAGCAGGGCAAAGCAGCAGGAAGACGCTTCTTCTCAGAGGTGTTTTTTTTGCACACATGGAAGTCTTTCAAAGTGACTTTAGTATATAAAAGTAATATTAGCAGTATGTTGCTGCAGCTACTGTGACGTGCATGCCAGCAGGGCTGATGAAGCTCCTGTAATCAGCCATAAAGTATCAAGATAGGCCTAAGTTTCAGTGTAGTAGCTACTCAAATATTATGTATTATAATCAAATAAGAAATTAAAGGCCTGGTTCATGCAGCTTTACATCAGTGTCTCTTCCTGCAGAGTCAGTCCAGACAAATGAATTTGACATAAACGCCTCAAGGCAAGAAGGTCGCCGGTTCACATCTCGGTGAGGACACCCGGGATCTTTCTGCGTGGAGTCTCCATGTTCTCCCCGTGCAGCGTGGGTTCTCTCCGGGTTCTCCAACTTCCTCCCACACAGTCCAAAAACATGCTGAAGTTAATTGGTGATTCTAAATTGTCCGT